GGGGCTGGGCTCTTTCCACGGGTGACACACCAAAAGGAAGCAGTGCGGTACAGTGGTTAAACCACTGGGCTCGGAAAGGTCCAGATTCCAGAATTCCAGTGTAACCACCAGCACACTGCGTGGCCTTTGGGCAACCAGGAATGAGAAAGCAATGTCCAACGAAAACTACGGTTCGAGGAAACATGATTTCAGGAGCTGGGTTAGATCTGAAAGACTATGACAGAGGAATGAGGAACGGGTATATTAGAGGTTTCCTAGCAGAGAGACTGGTAGTCTGATCAGTGGTGGGGGGTGAGAAAAGGGAAAAGGGAAGTCCGGAAGACAAGATATATCTCCAAAGATATACTTTGGAGAGCAGAAGTAGGTGAGATTAGGACCTGACCTAATCAAGAGCCCCTGTGTCCTTAATGTGGATTAAGTTGGGGCGTCTGTAATATACAGGCACACCAGCCCTGCAGCACCAGGACTAGACACCCTGCAGACACAGACCATCCAGTACCAGGGCTGGACTCCTCTGTAAGAGCTGTCAACACAGCAGTGCTAAATTAGATCATATTAAAATGGATAGAACGAACAAAGTTGCTTCTCCATAAGTATTTAAAATGGTGTTACTTCTAAGTATAGAACACCCAAAAGGTGGAAGAATCTCAAACCATTTTCAATAACCACACAGTCTAGCAATATTCACTCATGGTCCTGGAGGGCTGCAGTCCACCAGGTTTTGAAAAATTAAAATTATGTGTAACCCCACTCCATGATGTAACTGTATTATTTTCACTTAGAGGACCTGCTACCTAATAATAAGTAACAGAAGCTTTTCAACAGCTGACAGGCGATTTTTATTCTGACCTAGATAATGTATTAAATAAAACAGGAAGGACAGTGGTTCAGCCTCGCTGAATATTGGCAAACAAGTTATTCTGGGCCCTATAATTGACGTCGTTTTAACTTGCTGTAATTATTGTGAATGCGAACTATAATATATAGTACATTACATGTCTGCTGGCAGATCTCCAATCTGTCTTTTTTCAGGATAAGAAAATAGTCCCACTACTTCAGGCCAAAGTCTGTGCTGTAAAATTCCATAATGAAAATGTTGTTAGTGTATTTATATTTATTAATTCTACACTAAGCAAGCAGCATGTTCATTATAAAAATGTTGTGTTATTTTCATGCTTGGAAACCAAAACGCATCTGTATTTGACTTTAATTTTAACTTCACATATACATTAACTTACGTCTACTTTCTATATATATATATGTATGCATATTTGCGCTGTATGTTTCCGAGCTGAGTTTCTATGCCATTCCTTCCTGCTTTGATTCACTCTAGCTTTCCTTGAAATACACACGTCAATAAAGGAATGAAGGTGACATTTTCTAATTAAGCCAGTAATCTTCGAACCCCATCGCCTGCAGTCAAATCCACCATGCTTTATAAATAAAACTCACTGAATGCCAACAGGTCTGGCACCCCAAAAGACTGAGATCTTTCAGGACAAGAGCCAGTTAAACCAAAATTCAAGTCTAATGCTTGTAAGAAAACGGTAAGAAAGTTCTGCCAACCTCATTGTGTGGAAAACTGCGGCCTCCTCTTGTTCTCACAGTTTCGGACCTGTTTTCAAGGGTGAAAGGGATACCAGGGAGTTATTTTTGACAACTGGTAAAGCACAAGCTGGAAAGGCCTGTGAGGCCAAGGTGTGGAGAACCGGCTGGGAGCAGGCCTGTGTGTGAAAACAAGCTTGCAGGTGTTGGATTCTCAAGGCAAGTCGAGGGCCTCTCACACACCATATGTCTGCTGAAGGCACACGTTGCCCTGCGAAGCTGATCTGGGGCAAAATCTTCTACTAAGTAAAGAGGTCAGAGTTACAAATTTGAAAAAAAAAATAACTTTGGACAAGTTTACGGTTTGGCTTTTTTAATTCATGAGTTAAATCGGTTTTTACAGCTCGTCTCAGCTCCAGTGCTTTTCCACGAAGCTCTGTCGTATTTCACACACCCCTGCAAAAACAAAACATTTTTAAACACATTTTTTGTTGTTGTTGTTGTTAGTATATTATAATATAGTTATACTATACTATTATAGTAATATATTATTCAGTAATATAGTATTGTAAAATAGTATAGCATAATATAGTATATAGTAATTCCTCACAGAGCTGTGGTACATACTGTATGGCAGCTGTAACCACAAATAAAGAACAGTAACACATGGGAAGACAGTAAAGAGGAGTTTCTGGAATTAAATGTTCTGATATTTATTTGTAACTCATATCTGTAGGACAAAAATGTTTTCTGAATAGAATGTAAGATTTTTGTTTCCTTTTTAACTGTATTTCAGTGAAAAATCTATTTCACCCTGGAATGTCACAATCTAAATGTGTGCAAATAAATCTCAACAGATAAGGTCCATATTCAAAAGACATCAAGATACAAATGCCCACAGGAAGCATTGGAGATTTAAATGCTTAAGCATCTTGTTCACCAGGCTTCTTTATTATTTTTTTATAAAACATATCCATTTCAAATATTGAGTAGAGTTGGATTTTTTGTTCATGTCCCACAGATTCCATTTAATTCATTAATTGACTTTAATGGCAGGAAAACCACAACTGGTTTACCACCTCTGTTTTGTTGCTTCAGGAAACTTAATGATCATTTTAATCCTGTGGTAAACCGATATGAGAGATCCATTTGATTTTTCCATGTCAGACACCTTTTTTCCTGAACTTTTACTTAGGCTGAAATGCTTCCGCCAATAATGTAATATCCTATACTGTAGCTAGTTTTGACAGAAAGCACTTATTTTTCTAGGTCTGCATGGTACAATTTGCTTTCTCCTTGAGACTAGATTAGAATGTCCTGGGATGTCATTTTTATTTAAAAATACGACTTCTTGGAGACACAAAACAAATTAAGTACATAAAATGGAGTCTAAAGACTGAATGTGAATATAGTGCCCCTAACCTAGTAGTAACTGCTCTACTAATAATGATTAATTACAAAAGTTGAATTCTTCCTATACTATATACTGTATCAACCTCTAAACAAAACATTACTCCAGGCCCAGCAATCCCAGCTTCCCTGCTGCCTGATAGAATACCTTATTTTCCGGAGATATTTCCTCAGCTGTTTCATCGGCAGTTAAAGGAAGTCTGATGTTTGAGCAATGCACAGCCCTGGTTCCCCTTGGGTGTGCAGAGCAACATGCTTGAAGAGTTATTGCCATTTCTCAAACCTGACACTGCAGCTGAGTGTCAGTCAAGGAGCTAGATGTGCCAGAGTGCTCACTCTGCTCCACAGGGGTAGCTGTGATCCACACAGTAGCAGAGCACCCCACACAGGGTCAGTCCTCAATCACCCCAGTCACACTGAGACTGACAGCAAACATCACACTCATGATAGCCGCCACCCTGCCACTATCTGTTAGCAGTAACAGCCACTCTAAAAACATACTGCCTTACCACCATGCTTCTTCAATGATAACCCCACATGAAGCCAGATTATCAGACTAAAATACTGTGAGAAAGTATACAAAGTATTATATACCACACTAGTGGGGGACACAACAAATTGGTAATAATAACATAGGAAATATTGTTGTGTCAAACTGGAATAAATTCACCCTTTTCAATTGTGACAGAGGCGCTAGTTTCTTGTTTCATCTACGTCTGCTTTTCCTCATTAGAAAGCTTGCTGCTCCTGTGTGCTGCTGTTAACAAGGGTGCTAACAGAGAGACAGGCGGCGCGTCTTTGTCACCTGCAGTGCAGCCTAGCGACTAAGAGCGAATGTTTGTTTGTGCTGAGAGAGTCACACAGGAGGCTGTTGTGCTGGGTGGTCTACGCCAGGGTTTGGGGGTGGGGGGCTTGTGATGAGGAGATGTCAACCATATCAACCCTGTTCAGCTAATCAACAATCTGGATAAGTGCAGTCTCCCCCTTGCAATCACACCAACTGCATGTGATTCTGCCAAGTACAAGCGATAGTCATTGCTTCACCACTGACTGTGTACCACTGCTATTTGTCCCCAACATAATTTAATCTTGAAAGAGGTTAGTGATCAAATATGCAAGAAGGACCTGTGTGAGTCACGGCAGCACAGTAGATGGCATAGCCTTGCAGAGCTGGAGCCCTGTGGTTGATTTTGGACCTGGGGTGCTGTCTGTAAGGAGTTTGCATGTTCTCCCCATATTCACGTGGGTTTCCTCCATGTGCTTAGGTTTCCTCCCAGACATACTGAAAACATACTGGTAGTTTAATTGGCTTCTGGGAGAACTGGCCCTGGTGTGATTGTATGTGTGTGTGTTTGTCCTGTGATGATAGGACTAGCATCCCGTCCAGGGTGTATCCTGCCTATGGCTTGCTGGGATAGGCTCTGGCTCCCCCTGAGATCCTGGATGGGATGAATCAGTTAGAAAATGAATGTATGGGTTGTGGGAGTGTGGAACAATCTACAAAGCCATGTTGTTGAAGCGGGTACTTTGGCTTCTTTCAAGAAACAGCTGAGATTCTTGGATCAGTTAGCTGCTAATGATCAAATAGAACTGAGGGACAAAATGCCTCCTCTTGTGAGTAACATTTCTTATGTTCCTATTGGTCAAAGGTGTCCATCTCATTAGCAATGCAGAAAACCTCATCAAGAAGCAACCATCTGCAGTGTCATGTGCCCATTCCATGTTGATTTGAAAGGTGTTGAGTATCACAGACAGAAGCAGAGGAGACCAGTGGGAGTGCAGCATCCGACTGTTCACAGCAAGTCTCAGACTCTGATAGCCAGGTTATGATGTCCTGCACTCCCTTGCTATCTAGGGATGCTGTATCTTATTTTCAAGAAACACAATGCTTTTCACAATAAAGTCAGTGTGACACGATTTGGGCAGCCCCACTGTCTGTGGAGAAAAGGCTGGTTTCACAAAGTAGTTGAGAAGTAAAATTAGTTTAGAAGTAACTGTTTGTCATGCAATTGTGCAAGAAAGACTTCATGATATCTTTGGTACAGTACATTTTATTCTAAATTTACAGACACTCTTCACTACTGGGTGAATAAGGTATTCAGGCAACATTTTTATAACCAGAAACAAAGAAACAATATTTGGAAAGTCAGAAATACTATTTTTAGCCTTGTTCTAACGATAAAATTATACCAATAAGGTGCTGGGGTGAAAAAAGACCACTGCAACAGAGGACAGAGTTGGGCCCCAGCTGCCCGGAAGTGACTGTGGGTGACTTCTTATTGCTACAGGTTCCTGCGGATGAAAGAGGGCTGTAGTGAGTTCAAGAAAACACCAGAGAGGAAGTAGCAAAACAAAGAGAAAAATACAAGAAACAAAAAAAACGAACAATAGCAGACCCCCTATGATGTTGTATCTACTCACTGTGCCATTTCAATTAAAACACAGCAATAATAAGTACAGCAGTGGTTCCCTGTCATTACCATTTCAATAAAAGACCCTAAATCCACAGTGCAGGAATGTCTACAGGTATGTCATACAGTATGTGTCACATTTGGGTCTGAATTTACACATACCCTCTGTAAGTAGTTACACGTCAACTGCATCTGAATAGTAGTTCAGCACAAATCCCCTTGCCTTTCTCTTTCAAACTCCTGTCTGAATATTTACTTTACTCACCCCCCATGTTGCCATCATTTTTATTGTCTTTTATAGGAAAGATTTGGGTTCCCCCACTCCCTCCTATATCAATACAGAGCTGACAGACCACCATCACAGCTAACTGTTCTCCTGTGCTCCTTTATCTGAGCAGCAAAAGAAAAGCTGCATTTTTGACAAATCCACTTTCTCTTTTTACTGTTTTTTTCCTTCCTGGAGAAATGCTGGTAACCATTTTCTGTATTAGTAGAAAGAGTGTCCAAAATGCAGTAATTCTTTCCCTAAATATGCTATTGTTTCACAGATTAAAACGTCAGATAAGAGGCATCTTGCCCTGAGACTATATAAGAGACAGTCTTGTCAATCACCTGAGACTACTGCACCAGTCAGCCTTTATGTCAAAAGGTGGCATGGCCCTTACACACGTTTACTATGGTAAATCTCTAGCTTTCCCAATGCTCGTATGGATTCAGCTATGCTTTGCTTTGAGTTTCCATGGCTTGCTTTGTGCTTTACCATGCTTTCAGCATCATTTCACTGTGCTTTACTACACTTTACTCTGATTTTACCACAGTAAACTGCATAAGGGCCTCCACGCAGGAAACCAGCCTGGTGTTTGGAGGATGGGGAAAAGGAGGGGGGTTTTGTGGGTCTCCTAGTTTTCTCTTCCTTGTCGCTGGCTAGTTGGTCTTTGCCTGGCTCTTGCTCTTCAGCTCAGCCAGCTTGCTGGTCACAAAGTTCCACTTGAAGCCCGTGTCCTCGGCCCCTCCCAGTGTTGTGTACTTGGTGGAGTTGTTGCTCTCCCCCTCCTCTATCCCCCCTTCCTCCGGGGTTGACCCGGCGTCCTCGGGCACCACCTCGCCCGCGAGCTCGCTCTCGGCCTCCTTCATTGCGGCGGACTGCTGCTGCCACTTGGTCGCGAAGCTATCCCAGAATCCCGTGGCCCTCTTGTTCAGACGAGGCTCCTCCTGTTTCGGTGCCAATGGGCTGGAAGACAATAATGAACACATCGGGGCTGAAAAATTCCTCATACTGTTTGTTCTGTGCCACACCGGATCCGTCAGTAGGATCCACGTGATGAGCTGCAGGGCTCAGAGAGCGATTAAAACAACAAGCACGGGTCTCTGCTTCATTTTTTGCTGAAAAACACTTCTGATTTTACGAGACTCTTTGAAGCTCGGCAGGCCTTCATCGGTGTGTTGTGTGCTTGCTTGTGACCACGGGCAGAAGAATGTGCAATATCTTAAAAAACAACAAGCTAAAAATTGTTCCCGTCAACAAAGAGCTTTCAGAACAAGGGAGGCTGTGTTTAACAGCTCAGTTTCAAAGTTGAAGCTGACCTTCATATACACTGAATTTCTTTTAAATGCTAAATGCGTACTTCAAAGACAATTCCTTATCATGGTTTAGCATCTTACTAGCAAACAGTGAGCTTAGTAAAGATCCCCTATGAGAGAAAATTAGGGAGGCCCCCAGTTAATAAGAGGCCATTAACTGTTATTGTGACCTCATTAGTCAAATTTGAAACAGGGTTGCTTATAAAACCATTTGGCCTTTTCACACGTTTCTATGAAAACTGTGCACAGTGGAGAACCATCATTTGGCTCACACACAGATGGGTTGAACTGCCATATACAAGTGTATTTGATGTAAGCATAGTCTAAAAGCTTTTGAGGTTTTTTGTGCCTAAAGATTCAAAGCTGATCAACAATAACAGCAACAGTAAGTCAACAGCAGGTCTAAGTCCGACTTTCAAGTCATCATAAATGTATTCCGTCCAATGTTTAAAGAGAAGGCAACAACCTATGTACAGTACACGTTCCTGCAGTTTCTCAGGTAAAAAAACACACGTTTGTAAACCCATGTCAGTTGTGCTTCTCACAGAAATGGTGAAAAAGACAGGCATACTTCCCAGGAATGCTCAGTCACAGGGTGTTCTACTTCTTGTACGCAATAGACAGTACACATGCTCCTTTAGATCAATTTATTTGCACAAAGATAAGTGTGACGATGTTCTTCTGATGTTAAGGTCATGTTACTTTGCTTGGGACAATATTATTGCATAGATCTTGCAAGATACTGTATTAATATAGTTATATTGTTCACCAATTAATTATCACATTTTAAGCGATGTTATCTTGTATAAACGCCAAATTGATCTATTGTTAATGCAATGTTATCTCATGTAAATGCAAATATTTATCTCATATTAATGAAATACAAAAAATACTTTTTTTATCCATGGTGCTAAAAAGCTTCAATGGATAACCTTTTAGTGTTACTCATAGCAACTGCATCAGACTGTACATAATCTGAGTGAAAATGGAAGGAACAAGAAAACATCTTCAAGTAAATGAGTACAGTACTATCATAGAATCATGCACTGCTACTAAACACAGTGTATAAGTGTGCGTATGTTGTGGAATGACTATTACAACAATAAGTCATTCCTAAACAGTAAGGACTTCCGATTGTACAATATAATTACTATGGTTATTATATAACATTACTTTATTAACCCTTCACAATTTCCTGCATTAGGAATTATCTTTTCACATACCCCAGCTTGCTATCCATGAGACACACAGATAGGGAGAGAGCCTGGGGTCAGAGCACAGGGTCAGCCATTGTACAGCACCCCTGGAGCAGTTGGGGTTAAGGGCCTTGCTCAGGAACCCAATGGAGTAGGATTCCTCTGCCAGCTGTGGGATTTGAACCAGCAACCTTTCAGCCACAGGTGCAGATCCTTAGCCACAGAGCCACCGCTCATATTGTACTCACTGGTCCGCCGCGGGTTGGCTCTCGGACGCCAGGAGCTTGTGTTCGTCCTCCCTGCTGAACAGCGCAGACATGCTCTTCCAGCCTTTGGCACCAGCACCCTGCATCTGAGCAGAAAGCAACAGGTGGTCCTTCTCCGTTTTCGGACTGGGACCATGCAGGTTCCACACCGCGCTCTCGGCCTGTTACTGGTGATAAGCCCTATGGTATTTCCTAACCTGGACTCCATTGTGCAGGCTACTGCAGATTTCAATAATTAATCCATATGAATGATATCTTTTTTATGGAATTTGGCTTCAGTAAAGAGCTAAATGAGTGTTTTGTGCTCCCTAAAGAGATACATGTTTTCAGTGTTTCAAATGTTCTATGGTATTGCAATAGGTCTGCTATTTAATGGATTTTCTGTTTCCTGAAGTAAGAAAGGTTTTAGTGACTGTGCTGATTCAGCTACTGCAATAGCTCCGGGGAAGAGTCTGCCAAAATGGAGGCCCGACTGACATTGTAATGCAATAAGAGCCTTTATTAAATAAACATTGTGCAGCTCCTCTTTCCATCTGGTCTACCACTGCTCTCCAGCAGGTCCCGTGGCTCTGTACTGGTGCTTCACCAGCCTTCTGAACCAACGTTGACTGTAGTTTTAGCAGCAATACCTCAAGGGTTGCAGCAGACCTTCTGAGAGAACTATAGTTACTATAGGCTATAGAGAACAGAAATATTACAACGTTTTTATTTGCTAGTTCAAAAATCAAAGTTACTTAACGTGCCTGGGTACAGTAATGTATAGAAATGTGTTTAGCATTAGGGTGAGCACTGCAGTTAGAGTAACATCTAAAATGCATCAATATACTCAGGTTTACTGAGGCACAGGGTAGTGGGGCCCAGCAAGGCAACACCCTTGTCTATTATACTATTAGCATGCATGCAGAAAGTTATACAATAGCAGTACATTGTTCAATAAGAAGCAGCTAAAATACCCTTTCTTAAAGGTATCTATATCAATGTTTTGCAGTAGTATTCCCTCCAGCCTAAAATTTAGGAACACTCACAGAATAAAATGTTGGGCCTCTGCAAAGAGCAGCTTGGCAGGATAGGACACACAGTTCAGTCCAACCTCATTCTTTCAGCTGAGCCGCCAGGCAGTGGTGTGTGTGATTTCAATATCTTATTTTTCATGCCCAAGATCTTAAATGACTCTCCCCTTTCTTCCTTACTGATTTTTGGTTTAATTATGCTCCCAGACTTAAACGTTAGCTCACTGATGCCAGGCTCTTACAGTATGTGTGTCCAGGATCGGACTACAAATTGCGAGAGACAGGACCTGTTTTTATGCTTTTAGATTCAGTTGGAATCTCATTTCAAAGAAATTACAAGACCTGATTCATTTGCTGCTCTTAATTTCATATACCTTATTATTACTTTTGATTAATATTTGATTATTACTTCTTAATAATAATAATTACTTGCATAATTACTTATATACAATGCCATAGGGATTCTATGCATTATACATCATCTTGAGTGGCTATACAGTCAGTGCTAAGAGTGGAGTGGAGATGTTTTATAAATAAAGATCATTTATATCATTTTATTGCAGTGTTTTAAATAGAGCTGCCGGTGTTTCAGATTGTGATTAACCACTATCCTTACCTTTCTTGCAAGCTGGGAGACAGCACTCGCACCCTCGTCTTCTGGGGTAGCAGCAAGGTCAGTTTCAACTTCATTGCTCTGGAAACAAACCCAGCACAATATGGTGCTTATGTTAGATCGTACAGTCTTGGTTATGAATACAGTTACACCAAAATAAGATTTGTATCAATGATTCAATTAACAGGACAATGATGCCACAACCTCAGGGAATCATTCCAACCAGATACAAACAAGATTGCCAAAGTTACAACAGTCTTACTGATAAATAATCCATTCCTTAACCTCTTTGGGAACAGGATTAGAATGACAATATGGATTTTTTTATGCCATTCACTATAACACTCAATGTTTCCCTCCTTGTATTTGGTTGGGACTAAACATGTAAGAAAACCCCAGAGAATTTCTGTGCAAGACCCAAAACCTACTATGGTACAGAGAGAGCTCTGTAATTCCTGAAGGCAATCCTGTCTGCGTAAACTGCCTTCAAATGTATAAAAAGGAAATTCATAAAGAAGTCAACTTTAGAAGGCTCTCCACCCCCCCCATAAAGGGCTAAGAACAGGATGTCTGTCAACTGCCATTTGCGGTAATGTTTCGGTGGTCCTTTTTGACAGCTGTTATCAATTTAGACCTAGGGGAATGAGATTGGGCAGAACAGCAGCATGGTATTTAAAAGCTGCAGCTTCAAAGATATGTGGGGGTCTTGGATTCAATCCCAGATGGGTACACCTTCTGTGTGGAGTTTGAAAGTTCCCCAAGGTCAGCCTGGGTTTGCTCTGGTTTATTTCTGTACTGGGCAACCTTTCTGATGGTGAACAGGACCTGGTTTTCTTTAGTAAACAGCTCCCTCTGGTGTTATTAAAATTTACTAGTACTACTTTGTAGAAACTTTGTTCTTGTTTTGGAGCCAATGAAATTGTATTACTTTGTGATATTCTTGTATGTTGCATGACTGGAATCAGAAATCATTTGGAAGCTTTCTGAATTGAAATTCAATGAGAACAGCTCCTTTTCCAGCCTACTTTGCTTGCTTGTTCAGACAGTGTAGATGAGTCTATAAAATAACATTTCTCCTTGATAAATGTATTACACATATAAAGGCCTACAAATCACTTTGAGCTTCTGTCCTATTAATAAGTTTGAGAGCTTTGATTCCTGTATCTGTACAGTAGTATTTCTATGTAATGTAAGGCATTTGTGTCTATGTATATACAGTCTGTGCCATTCACACATGAATTATCCCACAGAAGAACAGCTGTTTTAAATTAATCATACCAATAATGCAAAGTGAACCTTATTTTCACAGGCAAGAAAAATTAAAGCAAATTAATTAATTTCTAAACCCTGATATGTGTAGAATTATTCTGTGTTGTCTTAGATGCTATAAAAAAACATAGATGATATATTTTTTTAATCTGGAAAAGTCATATAACGCAAAGGGTCACGCAAACACACAACAGTGCCCACAGCTGAAATAGCTCTCTTCATCTTTTATGAAAGCTGATTTTTCATATGTGTTTGCAGGGGCTACACAGGAGACTTCTCTGCAAGCTGTTTGATAGCAATTGCATCCATTACACCCATCCCATAATTTCCCTGCAGCTCAGTAGGAAACAGTAGGTTTGTCAGATGCCTGCCCACAACAGTTGATTGCCCTGATGAAAACAAGCGATCAGCGACAACAAAAAAGTTGAGTGACTGATCTTGATGTATGATGTGTGTTGTATGATGTATGTTGTGTGATGTGTGGTGTACGATGCAAGATATAGGATCTATGACATACCATAAAATGTCAATCCCAGCACAGTCATCCATTCATTTCTTTACTTCTCTATTGGCCAATTAAATGTCTTATACATACAAAAGGCAAAAATTAAACATTTCAATTTAGATTTTTTCAAAGCAACTTGTCTTCTCCCGATTTAAGATGAGGCTACACCTGATCTTTGCTGTCTTACAGTGAAGGCAGTGGTCTCCACTCAAATGTGTTTTTAATTTGACTCTCTTAAGCCCCCTCTTTCAAAAACATTACAGCAAGGAGGAATGCAGCTGATACTCACACAATGTACAAGTTGTACTTGCAGTTTCGTTTTTCTGCCACTTTTCATTAGTGGTTTTCAACAAAAACAGTTGAAGAATTGCCTGTGTTGTAAAAATCCTCCATATCTCTGCAGTGGGTAGTTTAAGACAAATCTAATCCAGGCGGGTCTATATTTTGATTTTCATATTTAGAATGACTGAGTTTGTAAAACAAATGGTCCCTTATATGAAAAGACATTGCCCGTAGACTTCAAAGTTCTACAGTTACACATTTAACCCCTGTAGACAGGATGGAACAAGTCAATACCCCAGTAACTGTAAGGAACAGTTAAGGCAAAAACAACTATTTACTGAACTGAAGAAAATGGAAACACACTGAGTGAATCATTTCATAAATGTTTTTAACATCTCTTGCATATTTTAATGCAACACAAGCTGTGTCTCCCAGAGTGGAAAACTCTTTCATGGGCTCTATTCTCGTTGGGCACTGAAGGAAACTAATTTCTTCCCTGGCTGTTGGACCCTTCACAGGTATTTGCACAAATCAGATGTGAAAAAAGACAAAGCTGTTTTTTCCAAGAATCCTTCATATGTGCGAAAAAAACAGTATTCCTTTTAAAGTGTTCTCTTGCGAAAAGAATTAATTGAACCAGTGTGCAGGGGAAATAACGAAATGCACACCGAACGATTCTGTTAAGTTGATTTTTTAATGCCCAGCGGGGAGTTTGTGTGTTTTCCCCATGTTTGCATAGGTTTCCTCTGAGTGCTCCGGTTTCCATACAGGTAGGTTAATTGGCTCCTGGGAAATTGGCCCCAGTGTGTATGTCTGTGTGTGGCCTGTGTTGGACTGGCGTCCCATCCAGGGTGTACCCCGCCTTGCGCCCATTGCTTGTCAGGGTAGGCTCCAGCTTCCCCGTGGCCAGTGATTGGATAAAGTGGATAGAAAACGGATGGCCGGATTTTAACTACTACCTTCTATTCTTGGTTTAAGAGAGTGCATTGCTGAAATGTATTTTCTGATCTTTGCATTTCTGGAGGCAGCATTCGGGGGAGTTAAACAACAGTGTGGAGTGGTGGTTAGAGATCTGTGCTCAAAACTGGAAGGCTGTGGGCTCACATCCTAGGTGTGGCACTGTTATTGTACTCTTGCGCATAGTGCTTTGCTAAGAGTGGTCCCGTAAAATGTCCACTTCTATAAATATGTATAAATGTAACTTGCTTTGGTCTAAAGTAAAAAAAATGCTTTTCTGCATTAGCACCATCATTTCAGAAAAAGACTTCATCTTTATTTGTAGACATTTGAAGAAAAAAAAGCTCACTCAAAGATGGATGCCTAGCAAAGCCCTATACCGGAGGAAGATATTACACATGAATAGTTAACCCTTTTGTGCAGCAACTGGGCTCCAGTTTCAGCAGCACTGAGGGTGTGTTCCAGTCACTGCACCCACAGAATGGTCCCTGTCTCTCTGTGCTGAAACTGAATGCCGTCTCCAAATTGTGAAGGGGAGAAAACTGAGACCCAGCTCCTCAGAGGTTTGTCAGAAAAGGAGCATGATTTGGCAGACTGGATCAGTAGCCATCAGAGACACCGGAGCCAACGGTACTAACAAACTGGAAATAAAATGCCCAGCACACTGTGCCCTTTCTACTACTGAAACATTTTTTTCATTGGTTCCTTGGGATCATGCCCCATGTCCTGCTCTTCTCCTCATTTATAAATCAGGAGTTTAAGCATTTCTAAAAAAAAAAAGGGCCCGGTGTCTTCTGGGTTACAATCTCTATTAACGTCAGAAAGCTGTTTGGTTTTCTCAAATCTAAAAGGTTTAAATATTCAACGATGTCCCTTTGAAATGTTTACCATTTTCTCAGTTTTCCTGTTCTTTCAACATGCCTGCATTGTGCTTTTTTGCACTGGGCTGTGGGGGTGACAAAAGATAATTCCCATTTTTTTCTGATTTGATTGAAAGAAGAAAAAGTGCAAAGTACTGTTTAAGTGAGCATATGGAACAGTAGGTTTTTAAGTTTAACCCTTATTTCAGACAAGTACGTCCAATCAGACATCAAATATTTCACCTGTCTCGTCTGTCACTTAAACTTCTCTAACACGGCCTGGATTGCTCTTCCAAGGACAAAGAACATAGTGCCAGCTTCATGACCTACTTCCAATTGAGCTTGGCTATCTCATTCCACTCTAGTCACTCATGGCACTAATGAGTGGTTTGTGGATCTTCACTATGACTGAGGTTAATAAGCATAGCCTGAAATAGGTCTGAACACCTGGGAGTTCTGTAGTTACCTGTTAGACTCAGTTTTATTTGAACTGTAATATACAGACCAGTGCTACACAATGTGAATCCCATACAATAGATTCTGTAGGTAGTACATTAGCACAACAAGCTGCTTAATTATGAAATTCATCCTTCTGATTATAATTGTAATGGAGAGGATTGGAAGGCTGATAGTCTGAGCCACTCTAGACAAACATCATAAAAAATACAAAGATGATGGAAAAACAGATTTAGCTAGACTACTGTACTTTTACAAATCTCTCCGAGAACTCCCAGTCAGATTTAGTCTCATTGGAAACAACACAAATCCAGGTTAACTTTGGCAAACGGCAAAAAACACGCATCAGAATTCAATGTAAGAAACGCTCCGAAAAAAATATTCTCATCATCATGTAAAATCTCCTGGAAGAGATATAAGATTAAAGAAAAACATCACTTTAAACATATTCTCCTACTGGGAATTTCTGAAACCGTAAGTTTTTCAAATGAATAACTTTATAATGAATACAGATCAAACGTTGCTTTTAAAAGCTTTCTGTTAGCGCGTGTAAATACCGTTCAAAGCTCATCTTCAGAGATCTTTCAAAGATCAGGTCAGATCTGATACACTGTCATAAGCAAAGAGACATTACACATGAAGAGAGTCTGAGCCCAGGGAGAGGTCCAGACCTTCCTGTGATCTGTGGAAGAAGCGTGGAGGTGGAATTTAAGATGGAAGCTCTCTGTACCTGCTCCACTGCGTCCTCCTCAAAATCTGGGTTCAAGGTTTTCAGCACCTTGCTCTTGTAGGTTTTCCAAAGTGCCGGGTTCATGTTTACTCCTGAAAGGTCTCACAGCTTTTTCAACACCATCAACGTTCGCCGTCTCCTGCCTCTTCACTTCATCTGGGTTCTGCCTCCAGAAACCCAGTAATGAATAGTTTTATTCTGGAGTCAGATTAAACTGTTTGGATTTTCGAATCCCGTTTTATAAAATCATGTGTTGTTTCATGTCTCCTTCCCTGTTTATTTTTTCATCCCGGATCCCACTAACCTAAAATGTTGGATCTCACCCTACGTTTGGTGCTCCCTGAATGCAGGACCTGTGCTGGATAACCAGACCGGTGAGGGGCATCTGTCATGGTTCTGCTGGTTACCTGGCAATGGGATCAAGTTTTTCTCATTAAAGTTTCAGCCTCTTATTCAGTGCCGGTGTCCATTGTCAGAGCGACAGGCAGGACTGCTCTTGTAACTCAATCTGAGAATAAGCCTGACATTTTGACTGATACTGCCTGGACAGGCCATTCAGTTTCACAGCTCAGGAACTCCAAAACGGGCCAAGCATAAATGCTGTCAATAGGGGAAGGTGCAACTAAATGTTTCTTTAGGGAGTTATTTGTTTTTCTGCTCTGGAAGGGAGGTGCCTCCTTCCTATCTGGAGAGTTTCCTTTAAAACCCAGGATTGAACAAATGAACTGAAAGCAAAATGTTACCATCTACTCAAATGGTGGACTTTTGGACCTGGACAGTGCAATAATCTTGCATGAATCAATCCATGTGTAGAAAAGAATAAGTCGCTAACAGTGGGGTCTTGAAAATGCCAAAGAATTCAGCACTGTTTTTGTATGGCAACATGTTTCATATTTCATTTGCCTTCCTAAGTAAAAGATGTATTTACCCAGGTTTCGTTAAATGCTAAAGTAAAAATATATTTACAAAAATAAAAGATATGCATTCATAAATTGATGAACATAAAGACTTTTCTCATCTGTACAAGTTCCCTTCCTCTTTCTGTAGCCTATTAGGACAGTTATTCAGTTGCCAGGTTTTATTTTGGATAATATTTTGAAGAAGAGAGAAAGGTTTCCTGTTGCTCCATATCAAGCAACAAGGTTTGAAATTGACTCTAAAGGGGGTGTTCTTTAGGCAGAGACAGATGCCATAAAAGTTTAATTAGTTCTTAGCCTCCTATTGTGTTTCTTCTGCTGGCAAAGTGCATGGTTGATGTATGTAAATATTAAGAATTTCTGAGCTTTTTTCTGTCTCATTTTTTTGGTGGGAAGAGGAAACAGTCGGACTAAGAAGTACGCAGGAATGTCATTCATGGATGTGAGGCCCTCTTTTCCAGGGATTTTATCTGTTGTTCATCTGTGGCTCTTTTTCACTTCTTTGGACATTTTAGTATCACTGCAGAATTTTCACAAATTAGCTTTTGGAAATGAAAAATGAATTTTATTTATTTTTTAAATAAAACTGCAACTTTACTCTAAGCATTGCTCACAGAAGACATATTTAAAAACATGATTAATAATGCATCGAAGTTTAGAGGTATGTGTTTGCTTCCGGATGTTTGCTTTGTGAAAGCAGTGAAGTTGGCACGTCATCCTCCTAAAAAGACGACAGCATCGTCCTGCAGAAACATGAAAGCAAACACCTGTAGAACTAGACACAACTGGTGTGAATGAGGGAGGAATTTTCAGGTGAGGGACAGGATCTGTCAGAATAGGCCTGTGTGGAACTGGCCACTCTTCAGGGCTAATTATGGGGCAAATAAGATAAATGGAAGGAGGGAGAAGGAAGAAGGCCCAGAGGAAAGACCTCATTAGGAATGACCTGACCTGCCTTACAGGCCTGTCACAGACAGTGAACTGAGGAGGATTGAGAACGTAGAACCTACACTGTATCAGGGTACGCCCAGCTCTGGCCAGAGACCTGTGTGGTCGTTCCTGTGCCAGGCCCAATGTGTACAAAATGCCCTTTGGAGCATTGACAGTGTTAGCTGAAAACATAACTTCTGCAGATTGGGGGAGAATAGTAACTAATATAGCAACCCCGCTCAATAACAAAACATTATTTTTATGACCTTCCCAGAACGTGCAGATAACTGCTCACTACCCCTGACGTGCAGAGCAGATGGGTACAGTGTGTCAATAACTTCACCTGAACTCTGTGAATGCATGTGAATAAACGTAAAATGGATTAGGTAGAGTGCTATGTTTTCAGAGGACATTAAAATATTACCCCAGATCACCTCCCAGTCTGGTGTGACTTCCCTCTTATCCCAAGTTGATAACAGAAAGAAGGGGTTTTACAGTGTGAGAATTGAGTGTAATGCAAATTGCTGAAGTGAACCCTGTTCTCACTGAGGTATTATGAGGTATTAACAGTGGGTGAGAGAGTGAATCCCATGGGACTCCAGAAGCACAAACAGATGAATGAAGTCTGAGGTGTAAAAAAAGGAAAAGATTAAGAGAATAAAGGCCAGGATCAGTTATGTCCTTCAGAATAAAGGTGCCATGGGTTCACCAAGAGAATAGGCAAAGGGACAAGAATCAGTCGTTCAGTCATGGCATTGTTGTTGATTATGAAGACATCCACTGGCGTTGACCAACTCCAGAGAAAGTGGGAAGTCAAAAAACATTCAGACAAAATGCCGAATTAATGCTTACAAGAGCTAATGATGAACCATATGTATTTTTAACAATAAAACAATCTCGTCTTCCATATGTCTTGCATCAGAAGGATAGTTAACAATCCCTTTGGATGGTGTGTTATTATTTCAATATCTTTTAGCAGCAGGCCCTTGTGAAAGCATCACTGGTGCCCACTCTGACTGTGAACCAAATATATTCCAAACCTTGTTGCAGCTGAGGCACACAGTTGTGTTACAGACACCTCCGAATACCTCCATCCATTATTCATCCAGGCGCCTGCAATTCCATTCATTCCCAAGCACCACAACCTGGCATCGTCTTTTCTTATGAACCAATAAGGGGCCCAAAGTCACATTAGCCTGCTTTTCAAAGTAAACTACCTTCACTCTACGAACTTATTAAACCACAGGCCTGCATTCTGGGTGAAGGAAACACCATGCAAAAGCATTTTGGTTTTCCAGATTTTACACAAGGCTTTTCCGGGTCAGCTCGTGGAGTTACTTTCACTTGATGTTTACCTTTTATCAGCTTTTAAATATTTTCTGCAGTGAGGGTTCTTCTTAAAAAGACATCAATCATTGATGTCTCAGTGGAGACACCTCCTGCGTTAATAATTTCTCATATGTCGGCCAGCATTTCTTATCCAGATCCACTTTACAAATAGGTTAGGACCTATTTCAACTGCTGCTGAAGAGTAGAGCCTACTTCGGTGGGAGCTTGGCAGCAGCATCTGAGAGCCAGCAGCTCATCTACGCAGAAGATCAGGGTGTTTGCTAACAAGCATGCCTGAAGGGCCAACCAACGAATACTTCTGCTGTGTATGGTGGAGGGTTGCCATGGTGACAGGATCCCAGTCCATTCAGGACACACATGGTCAGTTTAGAGATGCCAGCATACCTTTGGAAAGGTATGGCAGTAAACCCCTGGCAGCAAGCCCAAAGATCTGAAGATGCCACTCAGACAGTGCTCAAAGCCAGAACTGAATCCAGAAAGGTGGAACTGTGAGGCTGCTAGCCTCCACTGTGGTTATATGTTCTAATATGTTCTTTCTAAATAAGGGTATCAGATTCCATCACCACAGAAAGCAGTTCAAATTCTCGCGCCAGGCATAGAGAGAGAAATGGCATGTTACACGACAGGGTACATATGGGGTATAGGAAAACCCTGAAGAATAGGGACAACCCTAAAACAGGCAGAGGACCAGAGCAGGATACCACTGGGAGGAACACAACCTTCACCTGATATTGTGTGACATTAGTTCACTTGGTGTTGAAACTTCTCCCCAGTCACTCAGGAAAGATTTTTTTAGAAGAAGCGTGCCAATTAATAGAAAATACTTTGAAACCTTGGGGCAGAGGGATCATTTTATAAATGTGGGCACAAAGCGTATCAGAAGAAAATCAATCGTGTAGCAGGTGAGTTAGACCATTAAATGTTTTCTGGAGTGAAGTTAGATTCCACTAAAATGAGAACATGATTGTCTGCATCTAAAGGCTTTTGGTTATGAAAGGAGGGGCAATGGACTGAAACATTACCACAAAAAGTCAATGGGCGGATACCAGCTCTGCATTTCTATAGTCATTAAATTATTTTACTAAATTATCTAACCAGCCTATGTCTACAGACTCGTTTGTGCCCTGGAGGGATTATTCAATGCAATAAGAAAAGCTACTGAAATGACAGACAAAGATAAAGGAATGAATGGTTTAAGCGTAATATATTTTTCCCACAGATCAGTTAAACAGCCCTTAATACTCAGGAAGACACTGAGCAGCGCAAGGGAATAGACTAGAGCATAGCAGGCTGTGTGAGAATATACAGTATGCGGGATCCTTTGGAGAAATGGGTGGTGGGAATTTTAGTTCATTACAAAACTGGCAAATGACCAAGATAGTCCACCTCTGTGACCTTCCTAATGTCTGTGGAAAACCTCACATCAGAACTGCAAGAACTCTCTGGACACTTGCCAGACACTCTGTGGTCACTCTCTGGACACTCCCTGGACACTCTCAGTAGTCTCTGTGGTCACTCTCTGGACACACTCTGTACTCTCTGTGGTAACTCTCTGGACACTCCCTGGACACTCTCTGGACACTATGCGGTCACTCTCTGGTCACTCTGCAGTTACTCTCTGAAAATTCTGCAGTCACTCTCCGGACAATCTTTGGACACTCCCCAGACATGACCCGGACACTCCCTGGAGAGTTCTTGGACACTCTACGGACCCTCTCCAGACACTCTGTGGTCACTCTGTGGTCACTCTTTGGACATTCTCCAGTGCCTTGTCACAGCACTGTTCCCCCTGCACGACAGGGCATTCAGCTCTGTGGCTGGTAAGCCCCCGTCCAGTTTGTCCAGTTAGTCTCATAGTGTCGAGTGCTTTCCAACTCTAGTCTCTAGCACTCTGTCTCTTCCAGGTCTAACCGAGCTCCCAGTTATGTATTTGAACCCTACTTTGAATTAAAAGAGAACTTGCACTCTGTAAGTGTTTAATCTCCTTTTGTCTATTGCAGCGAAAAAGTAGATCCTGCAGCAGTCTGACTTGAATTGCTGGAAAACCTTGAGGATATTCCAGTTTAGCAATCACTTTGTTCAATTAAGATTTAAATTAGGCAACTCAAGCAGGTAGCTCTGTCAGGGCATGTACAGCCGAAACGCTGTGTTTCTTTCCTTCTCTCCTTCTCTTTTCAGCATGGAATAAACCTATACTTGTTCCTAAATTAGGTAACTGAGAGTTCAGGTAGAATGAAAATTGACAGGTTTTGGGATTCCCAAGGACAGCAGTCAGGACCTCTCTGAAATTCATTCTGGACTGAGGTATTCTGCATAATTCTATAATAATAATAACAACAACAACAACAATAATAATAACAAT